GAAAGTTGGAGGGGGAGAAGAAGGGGTGTATGAAAGCGACAGGTTGGGTTTATGATGAGTTGTGTTTAGGTTGGTTTTATTTTTTTATATTATTATTGCAAATATTCAGTATATAAGTGAATGTACAAAATTGAAAATGAAAATGAATAAAACATTTGAAATGTATATATAAAAAAAAAGAAATCCAGTTATTTATTAGGAGCTTCATGTCAGCACGTTTCAAGTAAAGCCAACTCTGACCCCTTCATTTATGTTCAATATTTCAATGTTCCTTTTTAATTCCAATGATATACATAGTAATACCATCTTTCAACCTCTAATCTTTCCATCTAGTTATTACTTATATTCTATTATATAAAAATTATATCTGCTAATATTCCGCCTATTTTTCATTTCTATTCTAGCTTCTAATCAGACCACCATTACTAATCCTAGTGTTAATACATGTTTATATCAAGACATAGTCCTTCATTATTTGGTTATTCAAAGTCTCAGTATGCCATTCTAGTACCAATCAACCTATTATGGCACCCAATAGTAACACCTTTCAACCTCCAATTTTTCCATCTAACTATTGCTTTATATAAAGGTGTGTATTCTTATTTCTACCTCTCTTCTGGTTTTTAATCAGGCTATCATATTAGAAAAAAAGAGAAAGAAACAAATTCCTTTCTATTCATCATCTCTTGCCTGTTTTAATACTTCAATTCTTATTCATTTTTTAGCTTGCCTTCCATACTCCTCTCTTGGATCTATGTCTCTATCAGCATCTGTGTCTTCACCATTCAGTCTGAATATTTCACCCATCTCTATCCTCCTAAGCTGTCAGGTCTCCAGAGTGTCCACCCTCCCTCCCAGCCAGTGGCTCAAGCCACCACCGAAGGCCAAGCCAGGCACTGAAATAACCCTGGAGGGGATCCAATGACCTTGAGGGAAGCACTTCCAGCAGTCCAGTGGCTCAACGGCAACAAAGACGCTTTCACCCTCAAAGATAGACTAGCCTGGAGAGGGACAAAGTTGTACATCCCCAGCAGCCTGAGACTCCAGATCATGCAGCGCAGCCATGACTCCAAGTTTGGTGGACATTTTGGATACTTAAAAACTCTACACTTAACCAGGAAGCAGTTCTGGTGGCCAAAGATGAAAGCAGTTGTGAAGGACTATGTAAAGAGCTGTGCCACTTGCGTTCCATTAAAAGCAGCCAAGGAAGCCCCCCCAACCTCCTCCAGCAAGTGGCAGACCCCAGCTGACCCTGGCAAGAGATTGCTATGGATTTTATACTTGCGCTCCCAGAAAGTGGGGGGAACACAGCCATTTGGATTGTGATTGACTTATTTTCAAAGCAAGCCCACTTTACAGTCTGCTCGGGGCTACCCTTAGCCAAGAAATTAGCTAGAATGTTCATAAAACAAACATAGAGATTACATGGGGTGCCCCACAGAATTATCTCTGACAGTGGGGTCCAATTTACCACAAATGTCTGGAGGGAATTCCTCCAGGCAATAGGGTCCACACTAGGGGCTCAGCTCGGCATTTCATCCGAGCACAAATGGGGTGGTGGAACAAGGGAACACAGTACCTGAGGTGTTACATGCAATATCAAGTAGCACTGGGCTGACCCCTTTCCAGATCACCAGTGGCATGGAGTTTGTCCCCATGCCTGAGTTACCTAGGGAACCACCCTCCTCCATTTTCTTGAACGAGTGGACTTGTTGAGACAAGGGTGGGGAAATACGAAGCTAGCTTTAGTAGAAGCGGTGAAGAGTTATAAAAAGCAAGTTGACAAACGCTCCCCTCAGCCTCCTTTCCACATTGGAGAAAAAGTATAGTTGTCAACAAAGTATCTAAAATCTTCTTACTAAGTAAGAAATTGGGTCCAAAGTTCATAGGGCCATTCCCAATAGTGAACGTGATAACTGTTCAGCTTAGACTCCCATGCTTACTAGGGAAAGTGCATCCAGTATTCCATAACAGCTAAAGCCAGCCGTAAGCTCTCAGCTAAGGCCGGTTACTCTGGTTAAAGATATACTGTGTGCTTCCCTTCTTATCACTCTCTGTAGCCAA